GACTGAATTACACCACTTCACCATTACAGCAGCGTTGTGGGAGACTGAATTCAGTAGTGTTTGTAAAGCACAAATGCAAAATAATAATTATCCTCTTACAGACCCTTGTTTGTATATCCACTTCCATGTAGAAATGTCCTCAGACTGAGTAAACATACAGACGAGCATTAAAATGAACCTGTCAGGAGCAGAGACTCAGCTCACCTCTTGCAATCACCCTTTGTCATGCTCACCCTTACATGTTCAATACCCACCCAAGGCCATTTGTCGGGGCTGGGGTAGGAGTTCCAGCTTCTGTCTAGCTTTTTTCTTTGTTTGCTTAGTTCTTTGTTTCCAGAGCTCCTGTGTGCTCAGTAGAATTTAGCAATAGCCACAGCATCTTGGAAAAAAAACACTATTTCATCCTTTTTATGAAAGCTCTAAATATAACTATTGAAGCAAAACAATGCAGTCAGATAAACAAAGAAATGCAGGCAGTGTAAGCAAAAGCCTCTTCAGCAGGTCTCAAGTCAGCCAGTCTTCCTTTCTTTTGTATGTTTTAGCTAACAGCCCATTGAACTAACAATGAGAAAAAAGGGAACAGAGATTTAATGCTACTTGTCACTGCTCTTTTTAAGATATTAATACTGGTATAAAAAGTATGATTTGAAGGAACTAAACCAAGCATGTTCAGCTAGGACTGCTGGTTTCCTTGAGTGTTCCCTGAAGAATAGTTATGGAATAGGGTGATCAGGGCAGTTGGGTCATCTGTGATTGAGGGCCGTATGACACTTCATAGCAGTGCTGCTCTAAGGGGGTTAAACAAGTTTAAACAGCTCCTATCCTTTTGCTATAACCACTGCTCTTATCTTAACTTCATATACAGTCTCTACCATTGTAGCACGCAGGGAAACAGACCTAGGAAGTGATGTGGCTGAAAAACAACCTGCCCAGAAGGAGAGTTGAAAAAAAGGTGGATTTACATTTCCTGAACTTGCCCTGCAGTCACATCAGTAACCAGGCTGCAAGGGAGGTGAAGGTGATCTGGAGGCAGAATAAGCTGTTGATGGAGGAGTACTTAAGCCAAAGCTGCCATTAGAAAATTTCTGGCATAACTACAACCTCACAAAAGGCTTTCAGGGTGCAATATCATTCCCAATAGCAAACCCAATACATTTGCAACAGAACGAGGGACAAACCCCTCAATTTCTTATTCCCCTTTGCTACTTTTATTGTTAGTCTATGTGCCATGGTTTGCAAGGAGACAAGGTAAAACTAGGGATGGGGGGGAAATCTATTAGCTTTTAAATGCAAGTAATGTTGCATGTTGGCAATGCATTTTAAATTATCTAATTGAATAAGTATAGAAGGACATAATTCAGCAAACCATTGCTCTGTGAGAGACAGTTCTTGAAGGGTGAGAAAGGGAGTGTAAGGTTAAACCCAGGGACTGAACTGCTCACAAAATACACAAGACTTTTAGAAGCACTAAGTATTGGTCTTGTTTTTCCTTTGAAGTTATGCAGAACAGAAGTAGCCTTTCCTGATCACTTTTGAATGTCCCAGTGACAGGGCAGTCAGCATTTTTTATACAGGTTGGACAGCATGCATGAGTCTGTTTCCCCACAGAAATCGCCGTGTAAGTGGTTCTGATGCATAATACATAGCAGGTTGCTGTGCCTACACCATGGATGCATTCAGTAATTGATATTTTAAACATCTGTCTGTTGTCATATTTGGCCCCTTGGAAGTTCTGGCCCGTGTGGTTCAGCATTGACACTGGATGGCTCTCTGTTCCTTTAGAGGATGAGCTTGTACCAAGAGGTTAAATCCATAGTGGATGCTGGTGCCACTCAGGGCATGTGCTGCACAGTCGTACTAAAAACCCAGATAACATATGCTTTTAAATTTCTCTGCTATTTAAAAGCCTGCCTCAGGATTTTTTGAAGTGATAAGTAGGTGATAAAATAACAAGTGGGGTTGGCTTTGGATGCTGTCTGGCACATGCAGAACAGTATTTTGTTAGCAAGCACCTGAGCAGTGGTTGTATTTGAGGGAGACAACTTCTGAAGGGCACTGCAGGGCTACCACGGACCTGGCTGTGAGGTCTGTGTGGCTGTAAATGGTGACAGCAGACACAAAATCTGCACCTCTGAGAAATAGATATAATGCGCAGGTGAGTCTTATGCTTTATTTGGGACAGGATCCTCTGTAATAGAAACCTGGAAAGAAGTGAGATCCCATTAAACTTCTGCCTGTAACAGATATTTTCCTGGTGAAAATCTGAGTGTGCTGAATCATGCCAGCAATGTGTGGCAGTGCCTCACAGAGAGATTGGCAAAGGGAATATTGCTCCCTAAAATAGCATGTCTTGACATTATACATAGCAAAGGCCAACTCTATATTACTGCACAACAAATGCGTCTGAATAACTGATTAGCATTTCTGAAACATTCAACTTCTATTCTAAATTACTTGGAAACGAGGGATTTGGGGAACTTGATCCTTTAGGGTAGCTCTAAATATCCTTTTCCTTCAGCTTCTTTATTAAATAAATGGAAGCTTTCCTTCAAGTCAGTCCTTCTTTCTGTTCACTGACAAATAGAAATGGAGTGCAAGGTCTGAGGCTGGAGAATTGAGCTCCTTTGGAGCTGGTTGCTTTGCAAAGGTCAAGGAGCACAAGAGAAACCTCTGGCAAATTGCTGACATGGGAGAACTCCTAGGGGTTGCCCATCTGGCTATGGAGCCCATGTTTCTGCACCTGCCAGAACAAGGAACATGCTGGGGTTGAGACGGGAGAAAGAGAAGTAAATACAGTTGGCAAAACATCCAACACATCAGGAAGAGCATCCCTGTGCTGCGCCTGCTGTGCAAATGTTGGCACCAGCCTGGAAATCGGAGCAGCATAACTGCTTCCCTGGAGGATTCTGATGCTTTGCTTCACCTTAAATTTGGCCTATTATTAATATCCCCCATCTCCCTTGTAGAAATGATCCATTGCTTTTTATGTCATTTCTTATTTAGGATAATACCATCTGATGTGTCTGGGATGGACCTGTAATTAGTATTGCTTCCTTGCTAAATCCTTGACCAGCTACATGAGAATGATTTAACTTCCTCGCCTTGCACGTGATGTATCTGTCTCCTTCGTGGAATAGAGCAAATTTTCCTCATTGGAGCACTATTTTCATGTGAGTATTTACCCAAAGTAGAGCCTGGTATGCAAGCATTTTCTACTGGTGTGAAACCTGCTGGTTAGAGAATTCAATATAAAGTATTCTTGGCTAATCATTAATTCGTCTGCTTGCAATTCATTCATCTTTATTTGACCATTTACTTAACAAGGATAATAGGAAGCATCAAAATCTGAAGACTGATCATTTTTTAAGAGCAAGCATCTGATGATAATTAATTAATAATAGCAACAACAATAACCTTAATTTTCCAGGTATTCCCCAAAGAGAGCTGTATTTTAATTATAGTTGCACGAGGACAAATGAAATCCCGTGGATTCAAGCTTTGGGTTATGGCATTCACTTCACAAGAGTGAGGAGAAAGCTATCTTCATGTAAAAAAATAATTTCTTGGAAGCTTCTACAAATGGCAGAGATGAAGAGAAGATAAATACTGTTGATGGTATTTGGTATGACATTGGTAATTCTCAGAGGAACTCCACAGTGTAGTGTGCCAGTGTACATGTTCTTTGCTTTTATGAAGGTGACAGACTTGACCTGTGATGTACTAGTTACACCCTGGACAGACTAGAAATGTCACAAACTGCTAACAGTTACTATATAAGATATAAAAGCTTCTCTTTGGAAAGCTGTTACACTTAAAAAGGTGGGGGGCAAGGCACTTCCTTACACTAAGGTTTTGCTTTTTTTTGCTCTCTCCTCCGATATGACAGTATACATGCCAGAAATTATGGGGGCAGAAAAAGCAGTTTTAGCAGGCTTAAAAATTAAATCCAATGGCAGTGAATAGATGTAGCATTTTGTTGCTGTTTAAAAGGGTTTGTGGTGTATGAGCTTGAGTGGGACTGGGAGAAATATATAAGAATTTCTTATACATAAAGGTGTGGATGTTGGGAAGGTGTGTGACTAGTAAATTCTGTACTGATTTATCACGGTGAGCACTTAGTGTAAGAGCACTTCAGTCACTGCAGCTCAGCTGTGCACTGGGCTTCTCCAGTTTAAACTCATTGTGGCACATAACGGGAAGGGGTTGGTTACTAGAAAGATATTTATGCATCAGTCTTTTGCCCTAGATGAACCTGTATGCTAGATATAAATGCACCGCATGTATATGAGATACACACTGAACATGGGTGAATTCTGCCCTTCAGAGATCCGTGCCCAGCCTGATGAGCCCAGCCATACGTTGATCTCCCAGTTCTGCTTTAGTCCCACTCGCGTGTTGGATCCTAGTGTAGGATGTGTTTCTACAGCAGCCAGAGGCAAATTTTGTTCTTGGAGTTGGTGGCATACATACCATTAGGCTGTCTTTGGTGCTCTACAACTTTGCTTTGCACTTGGCTAGGGAATGGCCACTGTACACAATGCTTAAATTGCAGGATTTCTTTTTGAGATCAAGTACTTTGTCTATAAAATATTATCATGTCTATAAAACATTATCAAGCTTCATGATGAATGAGGAGCTTTTATTTACTCTTTCCTAGGTGTTTTATAGGATGATCTAAAGTTAGTGGTGAAAATGAAGGAAATGCATGTAGGTGAATCTTTCATTAAAACTTTGTTTCAGTAAACTGGGAAGTAAAACAGCTGAGTATCTGGTTGGTTTGAGTGCACTTTTAACTTCAGCTTGAGCACTTTTGAAACATTTTTAGGCAGTTAATATGTGGATTTGCAGTAGTTTTATATGGCTGTTTGTTTTCAGAGGAAGTCCATCTCTGAGCAAAACAGTCTGGCTTGCCCACCCCAAATACACACTAGTGTCTTAGTCTGTATCTAAAGTGCTTCCACAATGCAGAGGATTAATGCATGAGTCTGTGTTCTTTGTAGGTTGGTGTACAGTGTAAAATGCTACTGTGTTCAAACACAACTGTAGAGCCCTGAGCACAGTGCACCCTGCTCTGCAGCCGCTGGCTTCTTGGGAACACCATTGCTGATTGCTGCCCTGTTCTTTGTGAGTGTATTTGACTATGATAACATTGTCTGGTAAAGAAAAGCCATTAGACTCGCTCTTGGAAAGTTTTAGTCAGATTGTTTTGATCTTAAAGTCAAATATGCTTGGATCAAACCCTTCCAGGGTTGACTTTGGTGCAGTTCGATTTATTACAATGGAGCTGCATTATTTAACGATATCACCTCCAGTCTTCAAAGTCAACAACTGCTGCACTGGAGGCAAGCATTGGTAATTGATGTTTGAAATATTAGCTGGTCAAAGGCATGTATTTACTAAAATATAGTTCAAGTTTGCCCTTGCTTGTCTATACTTCCAGGGAGCTTTTCACTTGCTTATCACTTGATCCCATTTTTTGTTGCACTGTTCAGCAAGCCCCAGCAATATACTAAATCTTGAGCAATAATTAATCTAGTTTATCTCTTGAAGTGAAAGCTGCCACTTCAGAGTAGTGCCAATCTGAAGTCTGTTGCTGCTGGACCCTCTCACTATGTCATTTCATAGTTACAGGATATCAACCTCCATTAAATTGTGTTCTTTTTGCCTCCACAATAAAGTTCTCTGGCAAGTCTTAGTTTGTGGGGTTTTTTTTGCATGACTCCAAAGTGTCAGGCGGTTGGATCTGGCTGTAATTTCTAGGAAGAAAGAGTTCAACTGCCACTGTGGGTACAGAGAAACGCTTTAAGGAAGTTACAATTAATCAACATTTAAAAGATTAAGGAAAGCTTAAGAGAGCCCTGAACAGAAGGGTGTTGATGGGAACCTGCTCACCTTGTCTCCTGTAATGCTGGAAGGTCCTAGAGGAGAAAGATCCCAAAGAGAGCAGTTGCCAGATTGCCTTGGTAAGGAAGCTGAAATTGCCAGGAAGCAGTTTAGGGATTTGCCCAGAATGAGTTAAAACTTAGGGGTGCTTCTATCTCTTTCTGTAGCTTGTGGAAGATATTGGAAATACTTGAAGATTATGAAGTGTTTGCTGACAACTCTGCTACTTGAGGAATATCCTGCTAGCTGAAAATGATACCAACTATTTATTTTGAGTCATCTTTATTAGCATACTAACTAACCTTTGCCTTCACTTACATATGCTGACTTACTTAGAGGACTCATTTATATCAGATAACCTGGGATCTGATTGCTGTGTCTTAATCTCGTACCACTTCCACTGGGGCTGCTGAGAGCCCCTTAGTGACTGTAGTGAGAAGCAGAGCATGTAGCTCTAGACATTTTCTGAAATAGGCTATTTCTGAAGGCTCCTTTTGGAGCCTTATACTTTAAATGAAGTATCAAGGAGAAAGTGTTCTGGGAAAATAAGTGTCTAATGACAGCTAAAACTGTCTATGAGGTGCTGTAGGACCTTTATCACTTGTTTACATATATAAACAGGGGTTTAGAAGCAGACTAGTCAAACTGTACACATTGGTAATGCTGCCTTGTAATACACAGCACATGAGAACTGAGGGTAAGCTGTACATAGTCTTGATTTTCCCTTCTTTTTCTGCCTTTTAAATAGACGCTGAAGGAAAAGAGTCCAGCATCCACTTAAAGGAAATGTAGAGGTAGTCATTAGCACTGGCTTGGCTTTTAGCACTTTGTTGCAGGTACCTACTGGTCTCAAGAGGCATGACAAGATGTTTTCATCCTCTAATTTACAGGAGAGCTGAAATGTGCAGCCCACTTCACATTAGGTGAATCTGTAATTTAAGCCTTCAGTCTTTGCTCTGTCAAAATTTTTCTTGGGGAAGAAAATGCCCGTATAAAGGTTTTCTGTGACTGTGGTCCAACTGTTATCATTGTCTCAGAGCATGTAACTTGCTTGCTTACTAGCAACGACACCTATGTAGTAAATGCCCAAGTAACTTGGAGATAATGAAGAAAGGAAAAATCATCAGTTATTATGAACACATCAAGGCTGCTTATTTTATTTGTTCTTCCTGAGTTCCACATGTGACAAGCAGCGTCATGACATGTCAGGTCAGGCTGCATCAATCATGTCGTCCTGCATTACATCATGTGTGCGGGATGGTGGAAACTACTTATGGGTGAGACAAGAGACTGAAGAAACAGTTTTGCTGTAGCTTGAATAGGGGGGGAAAGGGAGGGAACTGCAGTGAAGCACAGGATTTTTTCTTTCCCCTGAACAGATGGCTAGCCCACCCACCATCAGGTGAAGTCAGATAGGGCTGGGGATACAAACCTCATCAGATGGATTGTTAATTCCTAATGCTGTAGGAAACCAAGACGCAGAAGTGTACTAGCTTCAGGAGGGAAAACCTTTCAATTAAGAGTCAGAAAAACTTTTGACACAATTCTTCAATTTCTGGGGGGAGAATCCAGTTTGGATTTTTGTGGAATTTGCTGAATTTAAAGGGGATAGAAAGCAAAAAACTTAGACCCTGTCAGGGGAAAAAAATGTTATAAACAGGAGAATTCTTGGAAAAGTACTCTTTTTGTCAAAAGTTTTTTCTAATATATACTGTAATAGAAGTAACATGTCGTTGATGTTGAAATTAACTTGGTGAAATTATTTTTATCCCTGCAACTTGTAATGATATTAATTTCTTTTAATAGAGACATGATTTTGGAAATTGCCTATTTGTAAATAAGAATGATCACCCTCAGTAAAACACTCTTTTTAAAGACAAGGCCATTAGTGGGAACATCTTGACTTCTGGTGCTTTCTGAGAAAGTTTATAATCCAGAAAATGGATGCTCCAGGGTCATTTGAGGCTCAACTCTGCAATAGAAAGCCAAGTGTAACATACAGCAACTGTTTGTTATTTTCTTGTTGGTATCTGGGTCATAGAATCAAAACAGATTTCGGCAGATTTTGGCTTTATCTGTTTGTTTTTTTTTCCTAAGACTTTGCTTCTGTTCTTGTCGATAACAGATGTGAATTTCTCTCTGCTGAGGTCTGATTCATATGGCTGTTCAGAATCTTAGAAAACAAAGCTTCATCCCAACCCTGTTAGGCCAAAATTAAAGCTGACCAAGTTTTTCACGTTTTCCACCCATTTGAACAGTAGAATTAAGGTAAAAATGTCCATCTTCATAGTTTTTCAGGAAATGAAATCAAGTTGAATTCTTAGTCAAATATTCCATGTAGGCTTTGCCCTTTGTTTCCTTTTCACTTTAAACATAAGTTGTTGGGGTTTGTTGGTTTTTTTTTAACACTCTATTTCAAATACTTTGTTAAAAAATAATCAGCCTGACCTTTTTATTTATATTTTTTTTTACATAACTTTATATGTATATTCCTCTGGAATATATTTTAATGGTACCTGTTGTGATCACTTCCTAGCAATGCCATCGTTGCTACAGTTTGCAAGACATTGGTTTTTTATGCTCATGCATCCTTCAAGCTTTGGGGATTATTTGACTTTCTTGGATACTTTAGGCTGTCTTTATTTGCTTGCCAAATATGGTGGAAAATAAATGCATGCTAGAAGAATGATTTTAGCAGTTCTTGCTGCTCCATCCAAAGAGCCAAAACACCAACTGAAAACACCCGACTCCTCGTTTCCTTCTCAAGCTACTGTTTGCTTGAATGGGCAGGGTAAGAACCAAAGAAAAGCTGTTGGCTCAGAGGTCTTAGTTGGCACAAAGTGGAATTTCTTTTTAAAATGCTTATTGAATTCAATTATTGGAGGTACTGAAATTATATACAGTAAGTGCTTGGTATGTCAGCTGGGTATGTAGCTCCTTGAATGAAGAATAAATTTGATATGTGGAAGTCAGTGTTGCCCAATGGCCTCAAGAAAGGACAGATGGGAAAGGGGAGTAGTTAACCTTGTGGCTGTCAAGACAGTACAGAGACAAGTACTTCATGTAAACATGTGCTCAGGCAGGAAGCCTAGAAGATCTAGCAGTGCTCAATATTGAAATTCTTGTTTCATATGTCTCTTCTTACAATATGTAGTATAAATGTGTATACCTTAAGCTATATAGTGCAGCTGAATCTGACATATCTTGTCTAGACTCAGTTTGTCATAATAAATGCTGTTTCCTTGAGTTAGAATGAGTTAGCTCTTGAAAGAAAGGAAAATAAAAGAATAACTGAGCATTTTTTCTTTCTTCCCTTCACATTAGTGAGACTTTCTGCTCAAAAAGAGTTCTTGAAGCACTCCTTGAAACTTGCCTCAGCTCTTCATGTTTGTTTTTCAAAGTAATAATTGTGTGGGACTCTTTTATGGGTTGAGCTACTTAAATCTCAACTCTGCCTTCTCTCTACCTATTTTTTGACCTTTCATTCAAGGTTTTCCTATTTCTTTTCTCTCTTTGTAATCTGGCTCCATTAGAAGATAAAGGGTGAGCTCTTCCTCCAGTCGTAAATTGGGCTTCACTTGTGCAATGTTAGCTGGCACAGATCTGACTTCTGAATCTTCCTGGGAATAATATCTGTCCAAACCCAGAGCTCTACAAAGATGAGATCATCCCTGAGTTTACAGAGCAGAAATAAGAACTGACTCAAACTTTCAACTATGATTAGAGGTGAACTTACAGGAGAGAAAAACATGAGAACAATCTAGTTGTGATTGGCAAATGCCTGGCTCAGACTTTTAGCCTTGTTTCCGCTGTCAGTATAGCATCTCTTGGAACACCATGTAATTCCAAACCTTGTATCTTACTTTCTGAAGTTTTAAATAATTCCTGATTTTAAAAACTGCATCTCTATATGGGAACTTTTCCTCAGTTTGTTCCCTCTAGAATAAAATGTGCCCACTGAAGTAGGTAACCATTGCAACATATCAACATAACATAGCAAACTGAGAAAACTGCTGTCATTAAGTAGCTTGAAGAGCAACCAACCAACCAAAGAACTTGTGTACTACAGTGTGCTTAATATGAATCCATGATAGTGTTCAGTTTAATTAGGTGCTCTGAAAGTACTGTCCATAGTCTCATTGGTCATGTTACGAAAATGATTATCTGAGATGTGACAGAATAAGTGGGGTAACTATGAAGTGGTTTTTAATGGTCCATTCCCATACAGAAGACTTGTGCCT